GATATGTAACATCCTTGATCACTGATATCTTTGTCCGATCAATTTATATATATTTTCTCCACCCAATTTTAGTGATCATCAAGTCTCTTCTGTTGTGGAATTAACATCCTATTGTGCATGCATACTCTTACTGCAATGACCAGCAGATGGAGACATGAAATAGAATGCTTTTCAATGTATGCAATATTCATTCATTGTGCAAAATAAAAAAAGCACATTGGTTGATTCTGATAGTTCATTTTAAAGCCAGTACCGGCTTAAAAGTCCAAAAAAGTTAATAACTTACAAATTATAGCGAAAAGGTAGTTTCTTGCAACCCTAGAATGAAGGTAAAAATATTCACAAACAAAAAACCCTTCTGGTTGCTGATAAGTAGTGTAGTAGCTGATAACTTTTGATTTAACACTAAAAATTAAAACCCTCGGCGCGCACTGCAGCGCAAGCAGACAGATGCGCGACTCAGAGCAGCATGTGTCACTGACACCAGACTCAGAGCGCAGCGGACCGGTGGAAAATGTCACCATCAGCACATTATTTTACATCAATAAAATCTATTTCATCATTATTATGAGTCACACTGATGAAAGAATTTAGTTGTCTGTGTTCAAGTAGGATAATAGGTCGTCATTCATTGCACGTCGGGCTTTCTATTTCCTTGTCAGAGATGGTGTTGTGTTCAAGATCCCCCAAAAATAACAGGACAAAAAAAAGGCTGAATATTCAAATTTTTTTTTTTTCACAATCGAATCCCGTGCCATTGAACGAAGCTTCGAAGCTTCGAATTTTTTGGGTCAGCCCTACTTATGACTGATTGATATGATATGTTGTACATTTGTAAGTGAAAAGTAAATTAAGAGGGAAACCCACTAATTACACAAGTTTACTCATCATCATTTGCTGAGCCGCACTCCTTAGCCACAACAGTGTGTTACTGTAAAACAGTAAAAACTTCTGAGGCTCTGGAGGAGATTTGTCAAGTCTGATAACATAACCCTGATGATGTCTTCAGAGTTACCTCAGGTAATCTCTATGAACAGATATCTGCATATGTATGCAGAGTTTGTAGGCAACTGGACAGGATTTTGGTATCAGAAGCGTTCTGGTTTCCATTTGTAGTCTGTGTAGTGTTGAGTAGTCAGAATCAGAAATACTTTATTGATCCCCGAGGGGAAATTAGTGTAGAGAGGTGTGAACGCATTGGCAGAAATGCAATCGCGGGTCACATCAGCTATCATCTGACAATGATTAAACTTTATGAGCATTTGTTTTTATTGTTTATCTGCATTCGTGTGCAGTGGGGATTTTAGATTTTAGTGGTTATTTTGCTTTCAGCAGCCCGACACCTATTAACCAGTAACTACCTAGTTCATTTTTAAGAAAAAAAACCCCCAAAACAAAACAACATGATGTGAAATGCATGAGTCCGATAGTCCAGCACTCCACTGACTCAGTGAGCTTTAGCCCCACATTACAAAGTGCTATCCATTAGAGGTGGTGAGATTTTAATATTTTGTGATATCTTACTGCAGTTCCTGTTGGTTTTGCTGACAGACAGCCGGCTAGCCATGTTAACATACTAAAAAATGGTGCCCACTGCCCACACTCCCACCCGTTTCCACTGGTTAGCTAACGTTAGCCATGGCCACTCAGCACTGGGTCACATGGGAGCTAGCTAGCAGCGTTGCTCATTCATGATTGCTGTTGCTGCTTTGAAGAAGAAGCATGGTGGCCACCGTCCGGTCTATCCCCCAGGTAGCCCCAGTGTGTCAGCAGCTTCATTTGAGCCACCAAACCCCTTTTGATTGATAACTATGTCAGTACCACTGGCCGTGTTGACACTGCTAATGGTGGAGTGATCCAGGAATGAGTCCTGAAACCTGGAAAGTTAGGAAGTTAGCATTTTGCACTCCTGGTTCCCTCGTCTTGAAGTCAGTGGGTTTTTTTAGTGGTACTTGGTTAGATGCCTGAAATAAGGTCTGTGCTGAACATAAGCTTAAGAGACTTTCATGTTTTATTCTACAATATGAAATATTGAATATGGTAAATACTCCACTCGCAGATTTTGAGGCTTTTATGTGTTTAAAAAAAGACGGTTGCTAACAGGTGTCTAAGTGAGACTACAGAACGTCATTACAACAAACACAGTTTTACAGCCCTCGTTGTGGTGGTGATATTAAAGCCTAGTTCACACTACACGATTTTCACCGCGATTTTGACGTCACAGATGATCTTGAGAGCCACCTTGGGTCGGAGGTGAGTCAGCAGATAGTCTGCCAGGACGAGTCCTCATGTGTGAACAAGCCTACGAGTAAGTCGCCCCCTCGTCTGTGACAGGGACTGGATATCTGGCATGCTAGAAAACTGGAGAAGGCTGACATGACTGACAAAGAGCACCAGCCAATGAGAGGCAGGATACGTCCAAGGTCAGCACGCAGGAGGACAGAAGAAATGTGAGAAAGACAAGCCGCAGGGTTGCCACTTGCCGGGTCCACTTATTAGCCACGACTTTGGGCTTGTTTCTGAAGAGGAGTTGCTTATTTGGGCTTGCTCTCTAAATGTCACCTTTCTCTATATATCCGTCTAATAAGTTATTTAAACACATGATATTACGTCGAACTGCAGTTGCTTCTTTTGGGCTTGTTTCAATAGCCCTGGTTGCTTGTTTCTCTCCCGAGATCTGGCAACACTGACAAGCCGGCCGGCAAGTAACAACAATGGCGGCGTCCACAGGATCACGGGGAGTGCGTTGTGTTTGGACCCAAGATAATAAAGAATATCCATGCCTTTACGATGTGTCGTCTCCAAGTTTGGTGACGTCACCGCATTATCTGGGGCTGTTGGCGGAGAAACCATGTGGTGTGCACACACAGGTCCTAACGCAGTTGGCAAGACTCCCGCTTACAAAAACACATGTTGCCAAGTATGAACACTCAAAAGATTACGATAGTCTCCGCGACGTTAGCTTTTTACTTCTGGCAATTGCATTAAGGCTTCAAAATTCATATAAGTGGTGTTCATTTGTGGAGATAATCTTGCTGAACAAAACATGTAAGTATCAAAACATTTGTTTGCCACAGAGCTTATTTTGTGCCATAATCCCAAATCCAAAGGAATAATTCTATCGGCTTTTTGACAAGGGATGTGATGCTAACTTCTGCGTTGGCCTACAGAAAACCATATCCATGGAGCACTCTATGCAAAAGGGGGTCTGTGGCTTGAAATTAAGCTGCTTATTCACCAGGGCACAATGTTTCCACAGCAATGCTGTTGGGTTGGGACAGTGTTACTAGCGGTAATCGCCGAATAAGCGGTGCCCCTATACGCTCCCGCCAGACCTGGATAGTGTGCAGTGCAGTTAACCGAAAAGCAGCAACATGAACCTATATAGACCGACATGCATAACCTGTCAAAAATATTTTCTGCAGTTAACTCATTAACCTTTAACCTTTGACATCCCTAATATGCAAACATCTGTTTATAGAGATTAGGAAGAGGAAGTCTTGGCCCATATATCCACTGGCTACACTGGAACTCCCAAATATTCGCCCCAGAAGATGATTGTCATCTGACTGACAGCTGATGGGATCTGATCCAAGATTGTCTTCAGCTGGACTTTGAGACAACAAATACATGAGACTCTGTGTAACAAACTGCGGCTGTGGAGCAAAGGGAAATGTGGGCATTTACCTGGCAGGAAGGGTCCAGAGAGGCCAGAAGGCACTGGTTGCATTATGTGAACAGTTTTGGAGCTTGGACCGTGCTAGAGATTAAAAGTCGGAACATCTCAGACTCTGCAGCACAGATTTGTACTGTTTCTTTATATCTGACTCTTGTCCCCCAACTCTACGCACTAAAATCACCAGAGTGCCTTTTAAATGTGTTGGAAGTATATCAGCACATCTATATTAACCCACTGCAGCTCCCATACTCCTGAAAATAGACTATTAAACTATGCCACTGTCAAAGTGACATGTTCACAAGAAAACTCCTAACTGCTGAGGTGATGAGGATTTGGGGGCCTTAAAATGGGGCAAGGGGCCACACAAACCAGAGGGACAGGTCACAGAATGAGAGATTTTAAGTCTGAAACAGAGAACAGATTCACCTCTGTTTTAATATGAGGGGGGGGGGGCATCTGATATAAATGGTGATATTATATATTACAAACTTTTGGAAACGATTTTGAGTATGCTGCTGATGTGATGTAGCGTGCTGTCATGGTCCAGCAGCGAGGCCTCTGACCTGCAGACTGAAGACAGATTTCCAGGCTAGGCTACATGGTCACTGTGTATTAAATGATGAGGTCACAGCCTGACTGATGGTTCTGCCTGTGTGTGTGTGTGTGTGTGTGTGTGTGTGTGTGTGTGGACGTGGGGGCGGTGATTGTAAAGCCTGTAATATAAATAAAAGTAGCCTGTGTAGCTCAATCACACCTCAAAAAACACAAGCACGACTTGAGTTAGCCTCCACCTCCATCACCATCATCACCATCATCATCACCATCACCATCCTCATCCTCATCATCATCCCTTTGAGGTAAGAACCTCAGTGGATTGGTGAAAATCAAACTTTGGCCACATTAGAATCCACCAGAATGCATTAGAAAGCGGTGTAATTGCGTGTCTTTATTGCGTCAACAGCGGTGTGTGTGTGCTCTGTTGGCGCACCAGGCTACAGCTGCAGTGAGCCTGGAAGACGAAGCCAGGAGCAAATGGAACAGAGCAGGCCCGAAATAAACACAGGCTCCGCCGAATAAAACCTTCCCCTCCTGCTCGAATTAATCTGTCGCATTTTTCCGTTGAGCGGAAGCCGCGGGTTGGGAGAGCCCTGCGCTCAAATCAATCGTTCACATTTGGTCCATCGCTTTGCCCCCTGCACTGCATCCCCCACGATCCATGTTACAGCCGGTGTTTCCTGAAGATTTACATCCAATTACCTCCGCTCGGAGCCCGTGTCCCCTGCCCAGCTTAGACCCGCTACCCCGCCGCCGTGGCGCTTACCTCCTCATCCTGCGGACCTCCGGGGATCCCCGACGTGCAGGAGGAGTCCAGCCCGGCACCCAGCTCCTCCAGGCCCCGCTCCCTGCCCGGCTCCCGCTCCACGGTGTCTCCGTTAAAGACGGGCGGTGGGGACTCGGCGCTGCTCAACGCCGCCATTTTAAACTGCGAGAAACTGAGTGGAAAATAATAGAGGGAAACGCAGGCTGGTGCTGAGGACAGGAGGGGGAGACAGAGACGCAGGACGGGTCTCCCAACCAAGCCTCTGGACTGGATGGGTGGCACACAATTACTACTGTTAACTTGCCCCCCAAAATTACTTACAGCTTATTTTTGATAATAATAATAATAATACTAATAATGATGATAATAATAATAATAATAATAATAATAATAATAACAATAATTATATAATGTATTATTAGTTTTAGTATTTAATTATTGTTATTATTATCATCATTATTATTAATAATATTAATTCATTAATTAATAATATATTTCTAATTTTAGCTAACCATTTACATGCAATTGATTAAAAAATACAATTAAAAAATATTTTAAAATAAATATAATTGTAATCGATTACAGTTAATGAGAAAAATATGTAATTGAATTATAGTTAGGGACTGTACTTAACTTATCAGAGGAGGAGGAGGGTGGCTGGAGTGTGACCAAAAAGTATCCCAGGAATGAGTCTTAAAACCCTGAGATGAGTTAGCATTTTAGCTCTCCTGGTTCCCTCGTTTTGAAGTCAATGGTTTTTATGGGTTTTTGGTTAAATGTCTGAAATGAGGTTTTTGGTTAACTCAGGCTCAGGAGGTTTTCACAATTTGTTCTAATACATGAAATAAATCAGTAAATATCCCACTCATGAATTTTGAAGCTTTTATATGTCTTTAAAAAGATGGTTGCTAACAAGTGGCTAAATGAAACTACAGACTGTCATCATGCCTAACATGGCTTTACAGCATTGCTGCATTAAGTCATTAGACTGTGATGTAGTTTATTTATAGCCTAATGTTAACTTCCTACTTCTTTTTAGTGTCTTTTACTTCAGTTCCTGTTGGTTTTGCTGAAGGACAGCTGGCTAAGCATGTTAACATACTAAAATATAGTGCCCATTGCCCGCTCCCACCAGTCTGCATTGGTTAGCTATTGTTAGCTTTGGCAGCTCTGTGCTGTGCACCTGCGGGGTCAGGTGGGAGCTTACTAGTGGCGCTGCTGATGTATGATTAATGCTGCTGCCTTGATGCAAAGGCATTGTGGCCACCCTTCGGTCTCTTCACCAGGTAGCCCCATTGAATAAGCAGCTTCATTTAGCCGTAACACCCCTTTTCATTGTTTACTATGTCAGCACCACTAGCCGTGCTGACACTGCTAATGGTGCCAACATAGCTAACATAGTTATCAATAGAGTGATCCAGGAATGAGTCCTAAAATCCATAAATGATTTAGCATTTTTGCACTCCTGGTTCCCTCGTCTTAAGTCAGTGTTTTCTTTCTTTGAATGGGTTTTTGGTTTGATGCCTGAAATAAGGTCTGTGGTTAACACAAGATTAAGAAACTTTTACATTTTGTTTTAAGAAATAAAATGCAACACCAAATACACCACCGTGAATTTTGAAGCTTTTATGTGTCTAAAAAAGAGGAGTTAACAAGTGGCTAAATACAGTACATAACATTACACTGAACACAGCTTTACAGCCTCATTGTGTTAGTGACATTAAGTCATGCAACTGTGATGTAGACCGTTTATAGCCTAATGCTAGCTTTTTACCTCTGGCAATTGCATTTAGACTCATATGTAGAGATAATCTTGCTGAACAAAAAGTGTAAGTACCACAAACATTTGGCGGCCACAGAGCTTATTTTGCACAATAATCCAAATTCCAATGCAGTTCCTCTAATAGCCACATGAGTCAATCCACATAGACCCCCATGTGAAAATGTTGTGTGTTATAGAATAGCATAGTAGAATAGCGTAGTTTGTTACTGGTGGGGGAGGGTTACATATTTGAATATTGGGGAGATGTGTATCACCCAGTTTTTAATTACCACCTTGGGTTAACTGGCAGTAATTTGATTAATCACAACTTTGTTTTCTGAATTTTCATCATGTGAGTGCAACTGAAACGTAAATTATTAATGTCTTAAATCTGCTACCACAAGCTACTACAGTAGCCTTTGACACAGGGCCTCAACATTTTTTCTAAAGGGTGCCAGTCCAAAATCTACCAGCTGCTGGAGGTACTTCTGCTATGTGTAACACTCCATAAGAGATGTTCAGCCGATACCCACACGGACATGTCTCCTGAATTCTGGTCCCCTAAATGTCTATTCAAATGTTTTCCTACTACATAATACAACTAATGCAGTACAAAATGTTGCAGAACCCCATTAAATACAGATAATTCAGTCCAGTTTCCTGAAGAAAATGTTGGCATTGAACGTTTCTGCAAACCACGAATACAGGAAGAGACACCTGCAAAGCAGCAGACCACTGCAGACCACTATTTGAGATCGACAAACAACGAAATTGGTTGTGTATTAGCAAGTCACCCGTCTTTTCCAGCAGCTTTTCAGCCTCTGGACATGGGTGTTTTTGAACAACCCAACACTGTTTTTCCAAAGGGGATAGTGCCAGAAAAAGCTGTTGTTTTTCACCAAGACATCGCTGCATTTCCTGCCCGATTAGCACCATAACCAAGTAGTTTTTGTGCCTAAACCTAACCACGTTAGCTACTGCACCGTTGCAACAAAAAGTTTCAACATATTCACTACATAATATAGAAATGTAACATATCTGTGGTTTCCAATAACATAAATTGCCATTATTTTTTCTAGAGATTGGGTTGATTATTTCAACGGGACTTGCAGACACTGAAAACTGCCAACATGCAAGTACCTGACAATTATGTATTGTATATATACACCCATTAGCCAAAACATTAAAACTACCGGCAAATGAAGTGAAAAACATCAGTCATCTCATTACAGTGCAATGTTCTGCTGGAAAATCTTTGGTCTTGGCATTCATGTGGATACTACTTGATGTGCTCCACCCACCCAAACACCAAGTACACCCCCACTTGACAACGGCACTCCACAATGGCAGCAGTCCCCCCAGCAGGATATGTGCTGTGTCACACTGCAAAGACTGTTCAGGAATGGCCCAAGGAAGGTGACTAAGAGCTCAAGGCATCCACCTGACTTCAAAATACCCCAGACTCCAATCCAGCATCTGTTGGACGTGCAGAGATACCTGCAATCCACTATAAGAACTCCTTGGATTGGACTTTGCCCTGATCTGTCAAGTCATTGACACAGGACCTCTGGGGGTGTCCTGTGGTGTCTGGCACCTAGGCTTTGGCAGCGGATCCCTTGAGTCCTGTGGGCTGTGAGGTGAGGTATCAGCATGTCTCACGGATGTTCAATCAGATTGGGGTATGGGTAATCTGGGGGTCAGGTGGATGTCTTGAGGTCTTTGTCAAGTTCCTGGGGTTATTCCTGAGTAGTTTTTATGGTGTGGCATGGTGCATTGTCCTGCTGGGGAGGTCATTGCCATCAGGAAGTGCTGTTGCCATAAGGGGGTGTCCTTGGTCCACAACTGTGTTTGGGTGGGTAGAGCGCATCTACTGGCATCCACATGAATGTCTGGACCCAAGGTTTCCCAACAGAACATTATATTGTAACAAGATTGATCATTGTAATTCACTTCATTGGTCTGCAGTTTTCAACATTGTGGCTAATCAGTGTATTTTTATATGCTTTTTGCAACATCGCAGTGTCACTACATTTACATTTATTTAGTTGGACTTTTTTTGACATAGATTACATTGTTTATCCAACATTATCGGCTGGAGTGTTCCACTGGACCCATCAGACCTCAGCAATCTTAAAAACTCCAAATATATCAGCTAATGAATTTCTACCCAATTCACTACTTCTAACATTAAAAACAATGTAGACAAACACATCTCACTAATAATGAGCAATCTTATATTGGAACAAAAGAAAAACAATTAACAGTACTCAAATCAAACAACAAGCTCTCTGGGGACTTGGTAACCATTTATTGCATACTTGCAGTCTGCAACCTTCCTGTAGGTGGAGCTAGAACCTGATCATTTACTATAACATTATGCTGCCCATACTAACAGATATGATCAAAATTATTATTTTGATCATCTATGCACAAGGCAGGGCACAGAGACCAATTGATAGTGCAAGACCTGTCTCAGTTAATATTGTACTTTAGTTTTACTATGACAAGTTTACAAAAACTGAATTCAAGATCTGTTTGACAGGCAGTAGAAGTCACATCAGCAGCTGTGAAATTGGACCACTAAAAGCCTATTTTTTTCTGAATTATATTCTTTTCTGTCCTGTACCCGTCAGTGGTGACCCAGCGCAGAGTTTTGGGAACTACAGGGATCCACAGCTGACACGAGATTTTGTAAACATCAGTGATGCCAAATTTTCACAATACCATATTAAATAAATGAGTCATAACTTACATCTGTGTACTGTGTTGTGGTTTCGCTGCAGTGTTTCTGAATAGCAGGCACAAAGAGCTTTGTAACACTCTGCACATTCCTCACATTGATTTTATTTTGAAAATGTAAAACATGTTTGGTTCTTAAAATCATTTTGCAACCACTCCAATAACAGTTAAGCTAAGCTCAGATGCTTACAGTATTATCATCAGCTTGTTTTAGAACATAAAAGTTACATATTAGTATTTGACTGGCTGTTTGGGACTCCATACTGTTTCACCTTCTGTAACTTAAATACAAGAGATCGAACATCAAACAATAAAAGGATGGAATTCACTTTGATACACCCGTCGCAGAAAAGCTCCTGACAAAGCAGCAGGACAGCCCTGACCAAACCAATGGAATTCTCCCAGGATTAACAATCCTCTGCAGAGATGGTGTACACAGTCTGATGCTGTCTGCCTCCAGAAAAAGAAAAAAATAAACAGCTCATTTCTTCTTGGTCGCTCTCTTCCCTTCTCCTTTCTTTGGTTTTCCTTTTCCTCTCAGTTTCCTCAGGCGACGCATCTCCTCCTTGAAGTCTTCGTGCTCATCTCTGCGAAGGAAGAGCAAACATTTTATTAAAACTTTTACAATGCTAAGTGAGGGTCAGGTCCACACTTATGCTTAAAGATTATCTTTTCAACTGAAACACTATTCTCCTTTGTTGATTAATTCTTCTTTACCATTTTTTTTTTTTTTTTAAAAATCACCTTTAAGCTACTGGTAATAAAACTCTGGAGTTCCTGCATAGATGTTTCACATTAAAATCCTTTCCGTAGCTTAACGAGCATAATACCTCTTTGTTCGGATAGGTTTTTAATTTGAAAAACTTGCAGGAAGTAATGAGTTTCATTGACCAATGCTTCACAAAGATCAGGGAAAAAATTGTCAAAGTAGAGGCAGCAGTATTTGTGTTTATATGCATATATCTTAACCATGCACCAATTGTGAAATTCTGGGCTGACACTGATACCCATGTTTAAAATAACAATTTAACCAACAGCCAATAGCCTATACCAAAGTGTTTTTATATTGTTGCTTATTTTGTTTTTGTTGTTACTTATTCCCCCTTTTGTGCCAGAAAACAGAGAAATCTACACTATATAAAAATAACTGGACTGTTTTAAACTCATTGAGCTTTCATTAAACTACCTTTGAATGAGCATAAATCCAATCATACAAATTTAAAAAAGAATATACTTTAATATAACATTTCACATAAAAATAATTACTGCTTCAAAAGCTGTTTTACCATATATATCATAATTCCCTCTCTAATATGAATTTTATATTGCTGAAAAAAAATCCCCTTCAAACAGCTGTATTCATTCAAGTTTCTTGCCAAGTTATTTTTTATTCTAATTTGTCATATTGTCAAGAATATTGTTTTTCCAAACACACCCTGAAATACTGTAATATTTTCTTAGGGCCATATCATCCACCCCTAGCACGCAACATTTATGTGACACAACAGAAAAACATTGTACACTGCCATTGGTGAATGTCATTTTATTTGCTGACTGGCTGATTGCAGTCAACAAGGCGAATATCTGCTAATACCGATGTTTGATGGATAAATCAATGCATCCCTAAAATACCGGTGTATTTACACACACATATATATATATATATATATATATATGTATACATACAAGCAATGATATGAGATTCTCACAGTACGATAACCCTCTCAGGAAATATCGCGGTATCACAGTATGGCAGAATATTATTATTATTATTATTATTATTGTAACTCAAAATGATCCTTAAAGGAATGGAAACAGTGGGGTTATTTTTGACTGAACAAATGTTTTATTACATTAATTGAAACTTGAAACTTTTTTTAATTAAGTCAAGATTGACCGATGCAACCCTTTTTGGAACCATTTTTTTATTGGACGTTTGTGTAAAAAGTCTTTGTTTTGAAATTAACTAAAATAAAGTTGAGAATCTCCATCCAGTTGCATTTTTTTTCAGTATCATAGATAAGCAAATGTACACGGTATGATAACTGTCAATTTTAATATCACAGTATACCTTAAAGCAGGTATACCGCTATAGCCCGAATACATACACACACAAACACACACAGAATTATTTAGTAACAAGGCACAACAGTACCTGAACAGTCCCATGAACCTGAGCTTCTGGGTCAAGGCGTAGTAAATCTTGTGCTGTGGGTACCAGTCATACACCTCCTTTGTCTTGGCCAGAGGAGTCTCTTTGAACAGCTGCACCACCTTCATAGATTTGGAGTCTGTCGGACGCACAACCTCCCCGAAGATCTGTGCGCTCAGTCTGGCCATGCGCACGGCGTAGCTGGACAGACCGGCCATGACTGCTGAACAAAGCAAAGAAAAGAATTCAAACTTGGGACAGGTACAACATAAACTCTGTATCACATGAGTGGAACACTGGCTGGGCATGGAACATGTTTTGTATACTATGTTAACATCATCAACAATAATCACAATCACAATTTGGCTATACATTTTTTGACTTCATGTTTAGAGTGCATCTTGTGATGTATTTCATTAAGAGCTCCATACTGACAGGTGTGTTGGCTAGACAATCACAAGCATTCATGTGAAAGTCAATGTCTGGTGTAAATTAGTTGATTTTATTAATTAGTCAATCAATGAAAAGTGAACTGGCAGCTATTTCTTCATCTTTTAATAATTTCAGTCATTTTTTAAACAAAAACACTAAATATTGTTTGGTATTTAATATTGGTTCAAGCATCTCAAATGTGACAATTTGGAGTGTTTTTGTCATACATAACAGTACGCTGAATATCTATGGGTCAGTTTTCGTTTTATGTCTTTTTAGGGAACACTTTGCAAGTTTAGCAGAACACTAAAATGCTGCTGCTGGTTAAGTGCAGAGAATATTGTTATTGACAGTTTATGTGTGTTGGTCTATAGGTTATTTTTGTCACTCTTCAGTTCAGTAGTAGTACTTACACTATGCAGTGCCATGTAACACAGAGCTAATAAAGTATTCATGCTACACTGGCTGACTTGATTTGGCTGCTCTGCAATGAGCACTGCCCAGGTTGGGTGGAATTATCACTAGTAGCACCATGCCCACCCATGGTGGTGGGAGAGTGTTGCTGTGGAAATATTGTGCCCAGCCTCCGGTCTCCCCACATATTGCCCCATTGAGTAAAGTAATTCATTTTGATCCAAAAAAACCTTAACATTTCTAAATATGCTGTTAGCACAGTTAGCAGCATCAGCACAGCTAGTGGTGCAAACATACGTTAGTCAACGATGCTAAAAGGGTTTTGCGCCTCAATATGACACAACTTAAGCAGAATTTATACCTCTGATGCCGTACCTACAGCATAGGCTCTGCGTCGTAACCTACGCCGCAGCCTGACATGCACACAGAAATGTAACTACATGTCTCTATTTATGTAAGCATTTATGTAACCATTTCCATCAATGGAAAATAAGCTTTTATTTACTTTTATTTCATAGATAAGAAACAATAAATTGTGAAGACAATAAAGCCCCTACAAAATAGCATTTTTCATTTCAAGTCTTGTGTGTGATTTATCCTGGCTTCATATGAGTAAAAGAAATTTCCATTAGCCACAAGGCTAATTTATAAAATGTAAAATGCCATAGGCTTGTGCTAATAACATTAGCATGTTGTATTTGTGGGGAACATGTGTCCAGCAAAAGACAAGTGCTTTGTCTGTGAATCATTAGTTAGGCCTACAAGTTATAATGAAGGTGATTTGTGTACTTGTGTTTGAAATTGTCTCACTGTGTCATTAAATTGTGTTTAATGGTTGTTTTGAATCAACTTAACTTTACAGCACTTCACAGAAACCCCACCGCTGACTTGCAGAGTGACAGTAGGCTTAGGGAGTATCACAACATTACAGTATAGCAGAATATTTGCAAATCCCGACGGTTTGATTTTCAACACCATCAAAAATACAGACGCTGCTCTTTCTATTAAACTCATACAGAGATGCTGTATTGAGGATCTATTGTACTGCAGTGCACATTAGGCGCCACCAGAGGTCGCTCTCTACTGGTGAAACAGGCAACTGAGCTGAGAAACATGGCGATTGCCAGTGGTCGGAGTATGTTACAGGACTGTAACCAGCAGGGTAGCAACGGCAGAGAGTGACTTCAGGGAAAAACAGAATGTTTTCACACCTTTTCACATTTTACTTAAGTATTAATTTCAACCAAACCATGGGTAGTGATCGTTGGAACAGTGGACAAACAAACTAAATGACTCACAAGACTCATTATGACAGTATTTGTGACTTTTATTTTGTGTGTGTGTGAGAGAGAGAAAGAGAGAGAGAGAGAGAGAGAGAGAGAAGGTGTTCAGTTGTATTTCTCTGTGTTTCTCTTTAAATAACTGGTTGAGGCTGGAGCCCCTTTCCCACTGCACAAAAACCTGCTAACACTTGCTAACAGCTGGCTTTTTAATACAAAGGGAAAGGTTACAATCAGCATCCAAACCTAGGTCAAATGACTGTAGTAGTCACAGGCATTTACGGGCTCAAGCTCCTATCTGCAGTAATAGAAATACAACACCAGAATGAATGTGCTTATTTTAGCCCCTATACCGGCAAGATGCAATGACATGCTACCACACAACACTGTCTGTCTCCACCCAAGCTGTGCTCAAACATCAATCCAAATTAGTCTGCACCGAGTAAGAGAAAGAAAGATTGGACGATTAAGAGATTTATAAGAGATAAGAGATAAAAAGTTTTCTGGCCTGTCTGTGACATCAAACGTGACACACCAGAAAAAAAAAGAAAGAAAGAGATACTGTTCTGCTGCATAGCCTTGTACACAGCTCTGGTCTACTGGCATTGGGAATGCAGTCTATAGCCTATTTTAAGTGGGTTTTCCTGTGTTTAAAAACCTGTGTACATGCACTAATTTGGGTGGAAAAGGGGTATTAGAGGCTAGAGCTTGCATAATGTAACAAACTTGCCGTTGGGGGACTTATTTTGGATTTTTTAACACAAGGAAAGGAGGACTTGGATATGATGCATGCAGTTTGCAAGGATTGTCATATGGGAATCAAATACTCTGAGAAGACTATGGACATGAGGGCTGACCTCACACGCCACCATCCAGAGAGACCATGTTAGCTGCTGAGAGCTAAGCTAATGCTTAAACCTGCTCCGCTGAAAAATCAACCAACACTGAACACACTTAGTTTGACAAAACTACCATCCAACTCTGAGAGAGCGAAGAAAATAACATTCTATCACCTACTTCATGTGCAAAGATCTATGTCCATACAGTGTTGTTGAAAATGTTACATGCTGAAAACACTGGAACTCAGGTATGTGACTTCATCCTGACATTTTTACAACAACACAGCTGGATATATATACATGGTTACATTTGATTGAATTTGAAAGTAAAAGTCAAACGCAAAAAAAAAATTGAATTGTGCCTGAGCTCAGTTTCATTTAAATAGATGCATTTGTTTAATGTAAATTACATCTTGTTTTGGTTTTAGGCTTTATGAATTTAAAGTGTGTGCAATGGGAAAAGTGAAGCTAATTTTGTCTGTTTATTAAATGAAATTAAATGATTTTATTTACATGTATTGTGATCTTACATTTGAGCAAAAAATATGTAATATTATTATTTACAATGAAACTAGCAAGCAATCCTACACGGTAGTTCATGACACTCTAAAATTTGTCATCATTGTGATGATCAAAGATCAGACAAATTTGGTAGAAAATATATGCGAAGCCGTGTCTAAAATTGAAAAGACTCTTAAAAAGAACAAAAAACATCACTATTGTTATTCTGATGAATGTTTGTCTGTTCATATATTACAACTTTGACACTGACGTACCGTTCTGAGTCAGTGTTATGGATATGCTTTTAGTGTTTTAGTCGTCATATTAAGGCCAGACTTAGAAGTTTTCATTCACTAATCCCTTGATGAGAACCCGCCATGCACCAACATGATGACTGACAGAGCTTCATGTGTTCAGTAACAACACGGTGTCTTACCTGAGTCCGCAGCCCGTCAGGAAGTTCACACCGCTCTTGGTCAAACACACTGTAAACGCTGGTTAAACGCTCCGTTATGTTAAATTCCAATATAGTTTTATGAACTGTACTAACGTTTTACCTAACATTAACCTTCACACACCATACTGCCATCACAGACTCTAACGCGCATGACACAATTTTCGTGAAGCTGATTGGTTTGATGCTTTCACTTCCGGTTTCACGGCAGGATAGTATTTTATTTTCAACACGATACATGCTTTATAAATTACACATAAATGTATCAACGGGTTGTCCTCAAAACTTCAATTGACGCAGACAGTCTGTCATTGTTAATGAAGCCTTTTTTATTTTTTTATTTTACGAAATTAAGTGCTGGCAGGAAGTCCGTTACTTTTAGGAGTTCCGGAGGGTGCGACATGTTTTACACAAAGTTCCGCTCATCAGTCAACTGTCACTTCTGCACCTGTGTACGGAGCTTACTATGCTTATTAGTATGTGTCATTATTTGTTGTTCTGCCTGTTAATTTGATGGCATCTTCACCACAAAAAAATAAGGCCACAATATAAATGGTAAGATACCTCAAAGCAAGCCATCAGATTAAATATAGAGGTTAGTTGTTTTTTTGTTGTTGTTGTTTTTTTTTTTAGATGTCTTTACTGTTGGATGGAATGCCATGAAATTTGGTACACAATTTTTTTTTCAAATTCAAGAACATTAGTGTTACATATCAATAGGGAAAATGTAGCAGTAAGCAGCAAACAAAATAAAAATGAAAAGAACAAAATTACAGGGGACTTTTGGATTAAGCAAATCATGGAAAATATATTCACTTACAAAACAATTATTAATAAGGCAAATCTTGAGCAATGACATCTTCAATTACAATCAATCAATCAATTTTATTCATAAAGCCCAATATCACAAATTTTACTTTTACTTCACAGCATACAACATCCCTCTGTCCTTAGGACCCTCACAGCAAATAAGGAAAACTCCCCAAAAAAACTCTTAAACAGGGGAAAAAAATGGTAGAGACCTCAGGAAGAGCAACTGAGGAGGGATCCCTCTTCCAGGATGGACAGGTGTGCAATAGATGTCATACAGGACAGATTAACATAACAAATTTACAGTGTTCCATATCACAAAATGAGACCTAAAGAGAGACAGAGACAGAGAGAGATGCAGCACAGACAGTTATGACAGCTTACAACAACATTAATTTAAGTTATAATATTATAACAATAATTACAGCTATTGTGGTACAATATGTTGTAAGTATATGATAGTATATGTATGTGACAATAATATCAATAGGCCTATGTGTAAAATAACAGTAGAAGTATGACCAATGATAACAGCAGCAGCAGGAGGCATCAGGCAGGACCACAGCAGCAGCAACCACATCACACAATCAAGACACAGCTGTGATAGGAGGTAACCTGCCAGACAGTGGAGCACAAAGGTTCTGGAGAAGAAGCCGAGTTAGTGACATGCAGTAGAGCCGAGTTAGCGAGATGCAGTAACAGGACATGAATGTTAGCAAAGGAGAGGGAGAGAGAGAGAAGGAGAGAAGGGGCTCGGTGTATTATAGGTGATGTATTATAGGAGGTCCCCCGGCAGACTAGGCATATGCCAGCCTAACTAGGGGCTGGTCCAAAACAAGCCTGAGCCAGCCCTAACTATAAGCTTTATCAAAAAGGAAAGTGTTAAGTCTTGTCCTAAATGTGGAGACGGTGTCTGCCTCCTGGCCTGAAGCAGGAAGATGATTTCACAGAAGAGGTGCTTGATAGCTGAAGGCTCTGGCTCCTTTTCTACTTTTGGTGACTTTAGGGTAGGCTGACCAAATGTCCACTTTTCATGTCCCGTCCGGGGTTTTTTTTATAAATTGATGATAATGTCTGGTTTTCCGTGTGTGTGTGTGTGTGTGTATGTGTGTGTGTGTGTGTCAGAGTGCGGCACGGCCGCATATCTCTGTCCGAACCTGAACCGAGCCCGACATTATTTAATTACTAAAGCACTGAGTTTGTGTCACACAGTTGTTATGGTTACAGGGTATTTAACAGGCCAGGCGTGCACCGTGGGTGCTCAGCGGAGAGGGAGACCTCTGTGTTTGAGACGGGAGCGGGAGGTGGGATGTCCGACGCTTCCAGCGAGGGGAGAGGGAGAAATAAAACAAAATAAGATAAAATAGGAAAAACCTGTTTTATTTTATTTTCAGCGTTTAATCAAGGCAGAGACGGGTAGCGGGAGGTCCAAGACTTCCAGTGAGGGGAGAGATAGAAACAAACAGCCAATGTGTGTGTGTGTGTGTGTGTGTGTGTGTGTTATGTTCAGGTGTTGTCACGTAAATAACAGTGCCCAAGCAATAAACAGGACAGACAATACGATTTTATTTATTTTTACACTACATTTTCACTGAAAGCTGACTGAATCTGACCTGAGCCCGAATACAATTTATACATTTTTGACCGAACCCGTCGGGACCCGTCGGGACCCGTCGGGACCCGTCAGGCTCGGATCGGGTAGCCACACTCTAGTGTGTGTATGTGTCCCCTATAGGGGCCCATCTGAATTTCTGTCTTTGAGAGATATTATTTTACAATATAACTGAATTTTCTTTCCATACATATAAATTTTAAATATATTAAAATTATAAGGCATCTTTGAGTAAATTGTGAGTATCATTTAAGTAGGCTATGTCGTGGCCGGCCGAGTGTCCTCTTTTTTGGAAATCAAAATATGGTCACCCTACTTTAGGGACCACGAGTAACCCTGCATTCTCAGAGCACAGTGTTCTGGTGGGATAATATGGCACTATGAGCTCTCTATGCTATGATGGAGCCTGACCATTTAGAGCTTTGTAAATTAGGAGTAAGATTTTAAATTCAATTAAATTCTGGATTTTACATGGAGCCAGTGCAGAGAAGCTTAAACAGGAAAAATGTGATCTTGTTTCTTAGCTCCGTCTAGTGCCGCTGTGTTCTGGATTGGCTGGAGAGTTTTTAAAGACTTATTAGAGTTACCTGATAATAGGGAGCTACAGTAATCCAAAACAAAAGTGGACCAATTTTTCTGCATCTTTTTGGGACAGGATAGGCCTAATTTTGTATGTTATCACAAAAGGTGATCTTCAATGTTTTTCATTTGCTTCAGATTTTCTCTTTTTTTTCATTTTCTTTCTTTCTTTCTTTCTTTCTTTCTTTCTTTCTCTTTAAACAAAAGTCAAAGATTTGACAAAGTATTTTATTTCATTAATAAAACCAATAAAATTAGTTTCCAGTTTTTCCACTTACATACATGGATATGATACTTTCCCATGATAATTTCTACGTTAATTACAGAATATATGTGATTGATTAAGATGATTTTATAGAAAATAAGACATCTATTAGGCTAAGTTTGAGAACAGGAGATATTGTAATACACATTCATCCCTGTATATTCAGGTAGACACATTTATGTTCCTCTCAGGATGAATTGTTATAACTTTGGGGACATCTTAACTCAATCTAGCACCACCATCAGGTCAAAATTTGAATATATCCATTACTTTGGTTTATACCTGCGAAAGTGCTGACGTTCCCAGCAGTCTCAGCTGTGCTTTATGTTGGGATGCCAATGCACTAAAGCATGTTAGCATTGTCATTGTGAGCATTTTAGGGGCATAAATATAGACAGTGCAGGCAGTGCAGTTGAACTGGAGCCCGTGAGGGGAGGGGCCTATGAAGAGAGTGGGCCCTCCAATAATGTGTTGGGTGGAGAATGGACCCTTATAAGTGATTGCCACCTTGAAATTATCTCTCTCATTACATGAAACACAGTACAATTTGCTATATATGCTCTTGAAAAAGCAAGCCCATCTTCATCATGTTCATGTTTTCTTTATTTGTAAAACAGTCAATATCTATAACAAAATGACATGCTTATTCTATAACTGTAAATCTACTATTCTATAAAACAAATATATAACTATACATCAGCTATTCAAATTGTTAAATTTGATCAATTACTTCTTAATGTGTTATTTTCTTTGGTATTTGTTGTTATATACAGAAATGCAACGATGGTTGCTGGGTAACATGTTGATGTTATCCAATGTCAAGTCTCTGATCATGCGATGAGACAATATGTGCACAATAGCATGCACTGGGACCAACTTTAACTACCTTATGCCACTGTATATGCCACATTTTGCTTTATTGCACTGCCTTTACTGTTTTGTGCAAAATGTCTTAATCAATGTGATGGCCTGAACTGTGCCAACATACCATCATTATACAGTATCTTAAAAGAACAGTGTGTAAGATTCAGACAGATTTACTGGCATCTAGCAGTGAGGGTAGCAGATTGTAACCAGTGGAAACTTCTCCTGCTTAAAATTCTTTCAGTGTTTCAGTTTGTTCTGGAGGTTTTTACCATCCTGCTCAGCAATATGTGTAACTGGGACCAGTACTACAGAACTGTCGTCAGCATTCGTCCATCTACATCCTAACCCTCACCTGTGGTCATGAGCTTTTGGTAGTGACCGAAAGAATTAGCTAGTGGATATAAGCTGCTGAAATAGGTTTCATCAGAAGGGTGGCTGGGCTCAGCCTTAGGGACAGGGTAAGGAGCTTGGACATCCAGAGGGAGCTTGCAGTAGAGCTGCTGCTCCTTTGCGTCAAAACAGGTCAGTTGAGGTGGTTGAGACATCTGATCAGGATGCCTCCTGGGTGCCTCCCGTCAGAGGTGTTCGGGCACGTCCCACAGGTAGGAGGCCCTGGGGTAGAGCCAGAACACACTGGAGGGATTACATATCTCATCTGGCCTGGAAACGCCTCGGGATCCCCCAGGAGGAGCTGCAAAGCATTGCTGGGGAGAGGGACGCCTGGGATACTTTGCTCAGCCTGCTGCCCCAGCGACCCGGCTTTGGATAAGGGGTTAAAAATGGATTGGTAATTTGCCATGACTAAAGGAAAGTGACTGATAGTGGAAACACAGAATTTTATATAGACCTTTTTAGAGCCGACGTCTCAATGAGCAAAGCACAACTCGCCTAGTCTTACTTTTGTTCTTGTTATTGTGTTGTGTTATTGTCAGCCAGAACAGAAGGAGTCGAAAAATTATTATGAATTGAAATGGAATGAGCTCTTATGTGTCCCCTACCTCAGCGCTAATAAGCATTTTGTTT